TGCTTTTAAGAAAGGAAAATATATACAATGCTTTTAAGAAAAGGAAAATACAAATAATTCCTTTGCTGCATGGGTGTTTTCGTGGTTTTCCCCGTGTGTAACGTGTATACGAGCCAGTTTCCCTTAGAAAGTCCTCCACGAAGGCATCCCTCCCCTTAGGCAGATAGCCCCTAGTGTGTGAAGAAGGGAACAGCCATCCTGCCTGACTACTCAATTGGCCCTATGATATCAAACCGACTGTTTCAAAGAAAAGACAGAATTACATAAATACGTCCATGCTATCACACACATACACACACACTTAGAAGTATATTCCCATCAACAACTTATTGGAGGACGACGTGTGTTTAACATTTAGTAAGATGCTGCGCTTCCGTTTTCCCATAATGCAAGGGGAAAAGGTCTAATCTGACCGGATCTGATCAAACCAAACCTAATACGATTCCCCATTACTTATTACTAGAGATTATGAAAAGACTCCATTCTATGATCACTGGATCTGTCTACATCTTGAGCGAACAATATTGACTCAAAAAGAACCGGTATGGACAGCCATCCCAACTTATCGGAGAAAGCCATTCTGTGGTCCTCAGTTGGAGGGCGGGTGGGTCCATTTAACTTTACTGGAAGGGGACAAGGCTTCAAGGAGCTTTAGACCAATCGCAGTACAGACGAGTGACGAAATTTATAGCGCGCGCTGGCTGAAGTTCTAGGAATATTCTTCCATATTTCACTAACTCACACGCTGCATTTGTAAGTTCGAAAAAAAAAAATTGCACAAAACAGTATTATGACCAACACGCAGTAGAATATGCTGCTGTGTTATGTGAAAGGAAAATCTCGTTTTTTTTAATGGTAGAAAGTTAACGCAGGAATTTAGGAGCTAAGAAATAAAGAGTGATATGGGATACCACGATAAAAGCAGATGGTAAATAGATAAGAGTAAATGAATTAAGCTTACTTCAAATCTTTTAGAAATAAACAATTTTAATTCATTTAAATTTATAATATGATTAATTTACATTACAATCTAATAGCAAACTAAGTTTTTTTTTTTTTTTTTTTTTTTTAGTCCAAAGGGATTTGAATCCCGAAGGACTATTAGTTTTCGTTTTGGCATTTTGCGTCGGACGGATAAATGTCGGTTCACTTTTCAAACTGTTGCCATAAAATGTTAGAGTCCTGCATTATATTTGAAGAAAATAAATAATGAAAATCTGCGTAAATGTATGTATATTTCTCGCATTGTCATAAAATAACGGTACATAGAGTCATCGAATTTTGAATAACGTAATCCTCCAACGAATATGAGCATGTGGAAGACCAAATTTGAAATTTGAAATTTGTTTTATGATCGATTTCCTATTTTTTAAAACTTTGTCGAATTTTTGATTAACAAACTCAAGGATTTCAAAGCGAGCAATGGCAACGTTGTGCAGAAAAAACATTTTTATCTCCAGCGCGTGAGTCTCTGTATCGGAAATTCTAAAGATATGCTCGTTTTAAAACTATTTTGCGATATTGCTGTTGCACTGGATCTTATGGTTTAAGTGCGAGGAACATGATATTTAATAAATAAAGGTAACACACAAAATGTTAAAAGACGCCCCTTTGGACGTAATTTAAAATCTGAAACATTTCAGATTTTTTTTTTTTTTTTTTCATGTTTACATTAAAACTGTTTTCCCGCAATTTATTTTACAGTTACTATTCGAAAAATATTTCTTTAAATAAGAAATTAGAAAGAAAATATTTCTTTCTTAATATTTCTTCCCCTTTTTTATTTTCTTTTTCTATGAAAATTATTTCTTTCAGGAAAAGAAATAAAATTCATTCGCTATTACAGTATGGCCGATTGCTCCTGCATTCAATTATCACACACGCATCAAAATGCTTTATTTTAAATAATTTATTCTATAATTAACATGAAAGAAAAATTTTTTTTTTCAATATAAAATACATAACCAAAATTAAACTAATCTATCTGTATGTGTGAGTAATTCGTTTTGCAATTTTTGTCACACAATTACTAATACCTTTTTTTCAATACTACATTGCTGTTATTTTAACTGTGTATATATATAAGAACTGCTCAGTTTAAATATTCTTCCTTCTCAAAAGATTTTGTTCTAGTGAAAATAATTAAAAGATAGTAATATTTTCACAATGGAAGTACTAAAGTAAAAATAATCAGTGTAGGTCTCCTGCAGTTGAAGTCCTTATCAAACCAGTGTTTCGACACATTTTAAATAGAAAAACTAATAATAATCAATATCTCTTTTACAATATAAAAATGAGAATGCTATGATGAACGGGTATTTTTATTATTTATTTATTAATTTTTTTAAGTTTGCAAAGAAACAATGATTTTTTAATACTATAATAGGTTACAAAAGTACTATTCCATGAACAAACCCTCAGTCTTATAGCATAATACAATAATAATACAGTATAATTCTGCTAACAAACCCACCAGCCGCCGAGTGGTAGAGTCGCTGAACGCAGGTAGTTTGGTCCGAGGTCCGAATCCCGCAAACGAGTAGGCCGGCGTTTTCGTGGCTTTCCCCATGTGTAACGTGTATACGAGCCAGTTTTCCTTAGAAAGTCCTCACTTAGAAACCAGTTTTAAAACGTATTAAAATTACACACACACACATACACAAAAAAAAAAAAAAAAAAAAAAAAAAAAAAAAAAAAAATCTGAAAGCCTTCAGATTTTATATTACTCCCAAAGGGCCGTTTTATTAACGTTTTGCGTGTTACCTTTATTTATTAAATATCATGTTTTTCGCACTTAAACCATAAAATACAATTCAACAGCAATATCATATAATTAAAAAAAAAGCATATCTTTAGAATTTCCGATACATAGTCTCGCGCGCTAGAGATAAAAATGTTTTTTGCCATTGCTCGCTTTGAAATCGTTGGGTTTCTTAATCAAAAACCCATAAATACTTTACAAAATATGATATATGAAATGGATAGTAATACAAATTCCCAGTTCCAAATTTGGGCCTCCAGATGCCTATATTAGGATGAAGGATTACGTTATTCAGAATTTCATGGCTCTAGGTACCGTTGTTTTATCACAGTGCGAGAAACATTCATACATTCTGCAGATTCCTCACTATTTAATTTCTTTAAATATAATAGAGTGCGATAATAATTGGTGGCAACGATTTGAAAAGTGAAACGCCATTTATCGTGAAACGCTACAAAATGGCAAAACGAAATTAATAGCCCCTCTGGGCTAAAACTTATTTTTAAAAGTATCACACTAATAGTAGTACAACTACTGAAAAAATATTATAAATCTATTTTATAGTTTTTTATAATTATTATAATTATTATTATTATAATTTTTATTTTACAGTAGTGTGAATTTCGCGTAATAATGAACGACATTTTTTGTTCACAGTATTATTCGTAAGGTATTTAACTGTTAGAGTTTTAAAGTAAACGTAATTCTTGCTGCACATAAATCGCGAGTGGAAGCCTATCGGATGTCTAGATTTGTATTAAATGAAGAAGGTTTATGTGCTTGATAAACTTATTATCTTCTACATTTTTAAAGCGTACAATTACAACTTATATCTATAATTTCAGGAATAGTATAACCTTTCTTTTAGTAGAAATTGCGTTCTTGTTCTGAATGTGGCTCCAAATACTCTCTCAGTTCATCCCAAATTAAATAGCTCTAAAATTTTGGCAATCTGAATACGCAATGAAAACATCTTTTGGCAGAGCAAAAGCATCAACATATTTTCTATAAATTCGCCACCGATTCAGAGATCTACGACCGTATTCTTCGTTTGAAATATGAAAAAAATCAGCGGCGAAAACAAATATAAAGCCATTGTCTACTTAGTACGTCAACTGGACAACCCTGATTGACGACGCGGCAACATTTTTTCACGCGCTTTCGACAACTTCCGTACTCAGAGAATATAGGATGTCGGGCAGACCTGTTTTTTACTAGCAGCGACATCTGGCGGCCCACAACTTGCTGTCGACTCTCGTAGCGTAGAATAACCGTCCAGAGTTCGATTAACAGTATAGGTATTATTGCAGCTTTCCTCGTGTGTAAGAATGCACAGAATGTTTGGCGTGTGTTTTTGTTTTTATTTACCAAGGCTAGAGTTTACCTTAATTTCTTGATCCCTTCTTCCAGAATTCGAAATTTAGGGTTAACCCAAATATAATTCGCATGTTATTATTTTTTTAAGTCTATTATTAAATGTTTTTATAAATTTTTCGAAAAAAAATGTGTATTATAACCTATGAAATTTTAACATCATCTTAAAGTAGATGTATTTTTAAGCATATCTGCAAAAAAATAGAGTTTTTATATTCAAAATTTTCTAAGATGTACGTGAATTTAAATTTTGGCTCGTTTTGAAATTTGGCGTATTTAATATAAGCGATAATAACGAAAATGTGATTTATGCAGTTTGTTAAATTATTTGAAAGAATATAAATGAAAAAAAGGAAAGTAAGTAGGTTATTATAAATTAAGAACTCCACCAAGTGAATAATTCTTGGCACAAACTGAAAAAATTCGCCAAGATCAATTTTTAAATTTCTCCTAAAATGTCTTACCAAAAATTACAAAATTTAACATCTAGGTATAATTTGAGTCGTAGAATTGAAATACGAGAACAATTGATATGTTATTTCAGAAAAAGACCAATTTTGTGTCAAAATACCTTTTGTGTTAGAATAATGCTAAATCTAATATATATCCTAAGTCGCGTTTTCGAGACATGAAAAAGACAATTTGAATTTCGTCAATATGCCCAGTAGAAGGGGAGATACAGAACTGTCCGCCCCCCTTTTTTCCGCAATGTAAGTATCCTAACATAGCAGGCATGAAGTCTTGAACATGTTCTAAGTATATCCAAAGTATATTACCTAATATTTTCAAATAATCAAAATATCGGAAAATACAGCTTTTCGGTATGAAGAAATGTTATACTCACAAATTTCTTCATTTGCTATAGGTTATTCAAATTGACAAGGCACTCTCGTGGACTGAAGATCCTCATCCATACATTCCAAGCGAGCGCCAAAGAGTTGTTCCTTCTCGTCTTCTTCCTTGTCCTCGGCATTGTGATTTTCGCCTCTCTTGTCTATTACGCCGAACGTTTACAAGCTAATCCTAACAATGACTTTACCAGCATACCAGAAGGCCTATGGTGGGCTATCGTCACGATGACAACTGTGGGCTATGGGGACATGGTGCCTAGAACATACGTTGGCATGCTTGTTGGTGCTCTTTGTGCATTGGCTGGTGTGCTTACAATCGCTCTACCCGTTCCTGTGATCGTATCCAATTTTACTATGTTCTATTCGCACACTCAAGCTCGCGAGAAGCTGCCTAAACAAAGAAGGCGGGTATTACCCGTGGAACAAGTGAGAGTTAGGCCCTTGAGGCCAGCCGGTGCAGCTGGTGGTGGTCTTCATCACAGAAGAATGAATGCTATCAAACATCATCACCCTGCTGCGCTCAAGGATTATAGTAGTAAAACAGGTAAATATAACTCTCATTTTAGTATAACTTTACATCTTTTAAGTATAGTCCATTAACTATTTTGTGGCGATTATATGGGGTGTCCCAAGGTAAACCGAAGCAAACGTGGGAAACCATTGCTTGCTTTGAGTTTGTTTACCTTGGACTACCCGACATTTTAGTTATATATATCTTATTTACTTTATAGTGAATACTTGTTTATTACAGTTACAAATTGGTGAATGGAACGAAATGCTAATTTACAGCAAAAATAGAATTGTATAAACTATGTTTATTCTGAATTACATAAAATTCTATTTTAATTACATAATGTATTCTGAATTACATACAATTATTGTTTAAGTGATGATCTGTTTATGCCAAAATAATTTTATAGCAGATTTGACACCTACATAATCACTGGCTAAGGCAAAAATTACTACCAATAGGCAAATGAAGCTCTACGTAAGATAATGACAATATTTTTCCTTCGTCAAACTACAGCACCAACCAAGCGTCATTCCCTTAAAGCCTTTTGTATCATGCTATCATACCTCAAAGCATATATATCTCATATAGCGTTAGTCGGAAGAACTAAAAACAATCTATTTCAGGTACCTTAACAACACAACTTTGCAAAAAGGGCAGTTATTGGATATTCTAAATTTCTAATGCCTTCCCTTGCTATAAACAATGTTTAAAAATATTCTATTATAGTTTTGATCTTAAAATAGAGAGTAAAATGTCTGCTCGACACTCCCTCGTTTACATTCGTAATGCATTCGTAATTAATTCGAATGTAATTAATTCGTCCTCCACCGCATCTGACATTATAATTCAAGTCAGTCATCACTCATGCGCTTTTCATGGAGTGAAATACGCTTATCGGTAATGAAGTAAGAAGAAGAAGAATTAGGGGACACGAGTATCTTCTGCAGCTGTCATTACCATGGTTACGTGGCAAACTGAGGGGAGGAAAATGACCCTGAAGGACCTATATTTAAATAATACGTTGTTACAATGATTATAAATAATTCAAAAATAAACCTTTCTGAAATTATCCAAACTTTAAACTCAAATGAAATGTACTGTTACTATTTGAAACCTTATAAGGTATTTCTTCCGCCTTCCTAGCTTGCTTTCTTTGTGTAGTGGTTGTGCACACTGGGCCGGTATTCCAGAAGTCCATGGTTCGATTTCCCGCAAAAGTGATTGCTCCTTTTTCACCTTGCCTACTTCCAAAAATATACATAATGTCTCTACGGTCGAACTAAAAGGGTGTTGGATGAAGATTCTCTTCACCCAGGATTTGGCTATTGGGTCCCCTAAAAACCCCAGTCGCCCTTTAAAAAGGGAGTATAGAGTATTCTCCCTTCCAGGTGCTTCGTGTTGCAGTGTCAGCCACTCAGCCGGTATTCAGAGGTTCGTGCTCGTTCCGGCGAAGCGTTGCTCCTTTTCATCTCTCTTGCTTCCAAAGTCTAATGTCTCTACAGTGGCGCCCGAAATAAAATGGATGTTGGATGATGATTTCTCACAGCTAGGATCGGCGAATGGGTCCTATAAAAACCAGGTGCCTTAAAAGGGGGAGTATGTAAGGACACTATGTTGGAGGAAATTTGGCCCGTATTTCTCTCTTATCTATACAATGACTTCCTACCCTACCCAGGCACTGACTTGCTCAATATGCTGATGACACAGCAATTTTTCTATATCTATCAACCCTTATCATGCCACAAGCTACAACATGCTGTTGAAATATCAGATTGGCTGAAAAAATGGAAAAAAATTAATCCGCATAAAAGTACAACATATATTCAGAAGAACTACTAGAAGACCAGTCTATGAACAACTTTATGTAAATAATCAACCAATAAATAGAGAATATACTGTCAAATATCTCGGCATCTACCTTGACTACAAACTTAACTTAAAGATCACCTTCTAGCTACTAAAACTAAAACATGCAGGCGTTCATGAGCGTCTACTCTATCATTAATAGTCACTCCAAACTCAGCATCAACACCAAAAGAATTATCTACTTACAGCTTATTCGACCTGTATGTTGTATGGAGCACCTGTCTGGGCTGCAGCTGCAAGAACAAATAGAAATCAACTACAAGTCATTCAAAATAAAATAATTAGGACCATGCTAGGTGCCCCTTGGTTTGTCACAAATGAAGTCTTACATAGAGATTTAAACATAAATACAATAGATGAAGAAATCCTCAAAACTGTTTAATAAATTTTACAAGTAAGATGCAAACACCATCCCTCTAATATTACACAAAACATTGGCAATTACGATTATCTCATCGATCAAACGTATAAACGGCCCCAGAAAATTCCTCACAATGTTCGGTGGTGGAATTCTGTATATACTCAACTGTAAATAATTATATATTATTTTTTAATCAAGTTTCTTATACTAAACTTTGAATTTAAAAGAATTTACGTTTAGCTATTTCGCATTATCAATTTTTAATCAATTTTTTTAATTCTAAACAATTTATGTTTTGTCTAACAAATTGAGGTAATTTTTTCGTTGGTTGTGGTGGCAAACGTATATGTCACATGTTATGATAAACAGGAATATAGTGGCAACTTACCCCAGGACAAGATCCAGGTCTATAGCCCGCCGTGACGAGAGAGTGACAAACACGTGAAAACAGATTTAATTCTTGCTTTATTGGATACTAACAATACTGAAGAGATATTCCTTTTTTTTTTAATCCGGTATGTCACATGACGATATGAGGCCTCCTCACTCAGAACAAAAAAAAAAAAAAAGATAGATCAATTCTTCCACACAGCCCTTCGAAGACTTGGTGTATTTCAGCTCAAACACATGCAGGTACTCTTCATCGGGATGCCGGGCGAAAATGCCAAGCCCGGGAAAAAAAAGGAGATTAGCTTAAATTTTGCAGCTACAACATCAAAGAGAAAGAAACTCGCTTCCTTCATACACACTGGGAGACCAAAGAAAGCTTGCACGATAAACTCCCAAAAGTTTGCATTTTATCTCCACTCTTACTGTCTTTCTCTATGCAGCATCTCCATCTCGCACCTTCACAATCTCCTCCTTCTCCTCCCTCCTGGTAGACAAAAAATACCGCCTTTTATAAAGTTCCACAGTTAAGTTTTGCCGCCCAATGAAAAAAGATCCAGCGTCAGAAGGCAACCAATCGCAAAATACCTTCAGCTACCCAGGCAAACAGAAGTGAAGACGCTAGTTGTCTGACGCAATACTTTCCTCCGCTTACAACAGTTGTCTGATGAAATCTGTTCCTCACCTTACAACACAAGTTGGCGAAAAAAAATGAAACTGTCACCAAAGGAATCTGATGCAAATATCTAAATATTGCCATAACGTAGTAAATAATTAATTCAATGTGACCTCGTCACATATCCCACCCTCCTTCGGAAGAAAAGGGTAAAAAAAAAAATTCCTATGCACACGAAGAACATTCCTAGTGTTAAGAGGGAGCCTCATATCAACACATGCCAATTCATGTGAAAGTGCTGGTTAAAAATACATATATTACACCCAAATTGCTATTTACATAATAAATAAAAGTACATAGTATACAAATGCCAGACAAATAACATAATCAAATGCGCTATAAATAAACATACAATTTCTAACATATTAAAACATGGAGATCACTTGGTTAAATTGCTATCGTTTAACACCAAAGTATATGGATAATTGTGCAAAGAATCCAATTTTATACTGTTGGCACAGATGATTAAAGTTCAATTGATAGTCTTCTGTGCATCACGCACAGTAATGGAAGCATTCATTTTAAAAGTCCATGAAAAATATTAGAGTCCATAATATCAAAAAGTCTATAAATTTAGCATAATTACCGTACTGAGTATTCAGGCACAGTCTCTAACACGTGTACTCAGTAATAAGTGATAAGTGATATAATCATTGCACATTCACATAATTTGTCCAAAATATTGAAGAACTAGGCACATAATTGATAATAAGTGTGCGTTAAAAAAAAAGTACACAGTCCACAAAAGTAGTCGAGATGTCAAACAATTTGAACATTGTTCATATAGTTCATAACCTACATTCTGTTCTATTTGCACAGAATTCAGCATTTAAGAGGATATATGGATACACAAACACAGAAATATCATGTGTAAACAAAGTTAACTTGCAAGACATAAGACAGTTGTGGTGGTAAATGCATTAACAGTGAGTCCTCAAAGGCACAGTAATAGAATATCATGACATACAATACTTCTCATGCTATACAACAAACAAAATTCACATACCAACTTTTCATGCAAAACATGTTTCATGCTATAAATATGTAGTATAACACATACAGTTTCAAGATAAAAGTAGGGCGTATAAAATCTCATGGTGACTAAAGATTAGAGAACCGTTACAATAAAATAAGAAAACATTCTTTATGATAAAGCAAAATTGCAATTTTTACATACTCCTAGTTACACTTAATAAATAGCATTTATGATGACAAAATATTATAAGACAACTATAATCACATCATACAGAGAGATTTTGAAAAATAAAACACCTTTAATCATTTTAAATATGTTAGGCACAATGTTGTTGAATCTATAATTGATATTTAAGGGTGATCAAGCCTTAAATACTAATGATTATGCCTGCACAATCATAAGAATTCAACAAAAGAGGCGCAACAGAATAAATTTGGTACAATTAGATATAAATACACTACTTAACAATATAATAACTTTTCATATATATATCAACATTCTCCAATACACTACTATGTTAAGACGAGAAGAAAATTTAAACGTGCTGTCTTTTTCTTAGATTATACTGATGTGTAACTTGAGGAGCAGGAGGTGGATTTTGAACTAAGTGAGAGAATCGTTTTGGAGCTAAACGAAGGCGATTGATGTGAATTTTGAATGGTTGAGCAAACTCATTGTCAAGTGCTCGAATAGTGTAGTTTACATCACTTGATTTTGAAACAATACAGAATGGTCCAGAAAATCTGGGTTTAAATGTATCCTTAGATTTCAGATACACTACGTCATCAATACTGAATGATCTTAATTTGGCATTTTTCAG